TAATGGAATATTCTAAAAAAATAATAATTTGGGTTTTCCTTGTTTATATGATGAGATATTTGCCTTAACCCCAACTGTTCAGAGTAACCAGAAGATTGCACATTTTCAGACTTAGTGAAAAAATGCAAACAGACATTGCTGGGATTGGCACAATAAGAATAATAAGATGTTATGTAAAAAGTACAGAAATGTATCACTTTCAGTTGAAATGGCTCAAAAAACAGCTCAAACTGATAATTTCCTACAGTTTCTAAGTGTGGATTTAAATAAGTGGACAAAATTCTTTGGATCAGTATTTTTTTATCTTTCTACAATTTCCCAAGTTTAAAAAGTTTAACAAGCTTCTTAGTGACAAAGTATGTGATGAGTTTCTACATTGTAAGATTCTATGCTTCTCATACAGGAATGAGAAGAACATCTCCCTCAAAACCAACTTCTGTGTTACCCTGAAACAATTCTGATGCTGTGTTCCTTCTGAAGAAATTTTATTATCCACCAGGAAGATGACAGAAAATTATTAACTTCTCTTGAGTGATCTTAGCCTATAGTTCTGGTGTTAAGGTGGGCCTTTGTGAAATACAGAATAAGGGGGACAGTTGAAGCACATATGGGGTGGGCCAGAGGGGAAATAAAGTCACACCGTCTGGGACGTTGAAATTCATCTATTATCTGGAAGAAATACCAAGAGTGATTTTATAAATAGTGAAATAATAGAGAAATAATAATAGATTAAGGAAATAATTCTAACTCTATGATCCAAAATCTGGAAGAGAGGCAGGAGATGAGGTATAAAGTTATCAGAGGGCGTTTAAGGCATTGACTGCGGGATCTCTCCAAGCACTTTTCGTGCACTAATCTACACACTTCCCTCACTTTACTGCAAACTCTAAGGTCTCATCTTGGTTTTTAAGGTGAAGACAGGTTTTAATAGGACACACATGTGCTCCGCTTTTAATCCCCACTCACTCAATCTACTGTGGCGTTGTCTTTTCCTATGATATCTCTACGCACAGAGTCTCCCTTCTTGCTTAGAATGCTCTTTTTTGGCTTCCCTCCCCCAGGGCCCCAGGACTGAGCTTGGTTAACTCCTCCTGTTCCTTCAAACACATAAAAGGCAACTCTAACCTCTAATCAGGTCAGAACCTCCCGTGAAGCCTCAAAGCATCATCTCTGCTCCCCTTCATATACTTGCTGCAGAAACAATTTACATTTGTTTGTGTGGTTATTTGATCAGTGTTTTTCTCTCAATTTCACTGCCACACACTGGAACGGGGATTGTGTCTGTTTTCACTCGGTTGTGTTTCTGCATGTTTATAATCAGGGTTGCCAGATTTAACAAATGACATTACAGGATGCCCAGTTAAATCAGGATTTCTGATAAATAATGAATACTGGCTTTTTTTGTTTTGTTCGTTTTGTTTTGTTTTAGTATAAATCTACATGCGGCATACTTACATCAAAAATACTATTAAAGTCTTTATCTGAAATTAATTTTAACTAGGTTAATTATAATTAAAATTAATTGTATATTATGTAAATATAATATATAATAAATAATATAATATAAATATACATAATAAATATAATATAATACATATAACATGTAATACATATAATAAAATATATAATAAATTCATTAAATATATGATACATATAATAAAATATAGACTAAATATAATATATAATAAATAAAATATATTATATTTATATAATATATATACAAAACATGTGACCCATTTTTAGTAGCCTTTGTCAGATATATGTGAGATATATTTTGGGTGTCTGAATGTGTCCTGGATAAATGTTTAGGACAATCGACATGCCAGTGTTTGCCAGGCTGTAGCTTTAATTTTCCTCTTCACGTGGTTTCTTGAAGTGTGGCCATCATGATAACTGATAGCCTTAGCTTCCTTCACAGCCTTTGGCTTTATACAGAGTAGTTTCATCTCTTGAAATTATGTGTTTTCCAATGGCTGTCCTCCTTGGAATGGTCACATGCTCTCCATACACCACTTTCAACCCTTGCCAGTTATTTTACACCCGGATGCTTTCATCCCTAGAAAGAACTGTCTTATGCAATAGACACATTATGGACAAAGCATATGGCCTATCCCCATTTCAAAGGACCCCTGAATGCTTATGACTCGAGAAAAATATAAAAGTAGGAGAGGAAAGTTGTAAATTCAAAACTTTAAAAAATGTCTAATTAAATGACTAAAAAAGCATTTCGGTTTCATTAATTATTAAATTTAACATGAATAAGAACAATCTGCCGCTACATTTGAAAACTAGGTGTATGAAAGATAGTGGCAGAGACATCGTGGTCCATCATGTTTTAGAGCCCACGTAAGAAATAAAAAGGTAATTTCAATTCTTAACTAAAATTTAAAAGTAACGTGGATATGTATGTATTTGATTTGTTTATGCTATAGAACGCTGTCTTTAAAAGCTAGGGGGCCTATAAAGATCTTAAAAGAAGCTAAACTTGTATCTACAGGTCAGAGTTTGAGAACTTTCATAACACTTTTAGAAAATAAAGTTAAAAAAAAAAAGAAAAGAAAGTTGAAAGAAAATACTTAGGAGTAATGGTTATGAGCTCTGGCTACCAGTGCAGTCTTTGATACCTTAAAGCCAACAGTACTTTTATACTGCTCCTGATGTAACATATTCCACTGGATTCTAGTTTCTCTGACTGGGTCTCTATTGTCTCTTGCTCCTGTCAATGGCTTGGCCTAATATTCCAGTTTTATTGGAAATTGTTTAGTTTTTGTCTATTTTTCCTACTGGGTCCAGGAGTATTGTTCCTAACTTGCCCCACAGTGAAAGATTTATATAATGCTAAATGTCTACATACGAATTCTAATTTTTAAAACACATCTTATTCACAGACTCATGGTAGAAACTCAAGCATTTTGTCAATAAATAAAGAATATATTTTAATATCTAATTCAGTCCACATTGATTTATATGTTCTATTATTTTACTTTGGTTCTTGGAAACCAACAACATGACTGTAATTACTACCTACCATCTATTGTGTACTTTCTGGATATTATGTTCTTCCTGTCAATGAAGATTTCCCCCAAGAAAACAGCTGAGATGGGTCAGCCACCTTGGTGTTTGCGCCACGCCAGTAAATAGATAAAGTTCCAGACCTCTTCCGTTGGTGCTGAAATGGGTCATGCCTGGCTGTGTCTCAAGATATGTCATATTCCATGGAACTAGTCTCCTGAAGACATTTTGAAATTATCTTTTCAGAGTCAACATAAGATAGCAGATGGATAATCTGCTTGAAGGCAGCTGAGGTCATATATCATTAGGCATCAGGGAAATTCTATATGTAACCAAACATCTGCATTTGCAAAACAGAGCTGAAAGCTTTCCAAAAAAATTCTCAAAGCCTAATTTCTTGCCAATTTAACATCTGAAAAATGTAGAAAAGGTAATCATGAAAACAGAGTCAGTGAATTTTTGAGCTGAAAGGGCCCTCAGAGATCAGGTTTTCCAACTCAATAATTCCACAGATGGAAAAACAGAGCCAAGAGAAGTTAAGCATTTCACCTAAGTTCACAGAACTAGTTAGTGACTGACAAAAGTGGGACTGAAGTGCAAGTGCTTTATTACCCCGCAGCCACCCTCAGTCTATCCAATTGATTAAATACTGGGCTCATTATATATTGTGGACATTAAGGCTGCACTCTAAATATAATACCAAAGTTCTCAATCAATTTTAACAAAGTCCCCGTAATCATATTGGAAAAATGGCAGTCAAAATTATCTTTCATAGATGCCCAGAGAATGCTTTCTCCTGAAGGAAATAATATCAATTAGAATAACAAGATCTTTATAAAATGAATGTTCCCATTTGCAGAATTAAATATTTAGAACTTCCCAGAAATGCACTGGCATGATGCACATGTTTACATATTTTCTCTGCAGTTTATAAGAATATCCTAAGTTTTGAGGAAATGTGAAAAGGGGGTTCATTTGTATCATCCCTGGGAACTAAGCTATAACTTTTTTTAAATGCCAGAAACTATGAAGAATTTTTGATAGATAGAGGTTAGATGTGGCTCAGGACAGCTTGATAAATTATCTTCCTGTAATAGTATGGCTTAATGGGAAAGCAGAGGAGACAATGGGCCACTGGGGATTTGGTAAAATGAGGCAAGGGCTGACAAATGGATTGGTAAATTTGATTCGAGGCTTTTGGATTTCGTTTTGCTTTGGTTCTTTGGTTTTGTTCCAGTGGTTTTTAACACAGGTGTTCCAGTGCTAGGGCATCGCTGATGGAAAGATGCAGTTGACGTTTGTGCTCAAGATACTGGAAATCTGTCAATACTGACACTGACAATAGTCCTACTTAACAAAAATCTGCCCCATGTTCTGCATATCTCACGCTTGGAACGTGTCACTAATTATTCATGTAGGTAAAACTGATTTATTAGTAGCTGAGACTAGAACTTTCACTTCATCTTACTCATAAATATGAAGTATTGTTTTTTTTGTTTTTGTTTTTGTTTTTTTTTATGAAGTATTATTGAATAGTTTTAGCCCTCACTCTATTTTTCCGGTAATGTTATTACTGTGGAGATCAAGAAAAGATACCTTTCAGGGGAGAGAATGGGTCATTCCTCATTTTGGAAACTATGTCTTGTAATATTTGAATGGCCTAAGTCATAGAATTATTTCAACCTACCCTCATAGCGAGTGCATTCACTATGGTTCTACATTCAGATACAAGCATCTAACTGCTTCAGTATTTCTACTGGTATAATCATCTTCAAGATGCATTTATTAAAAATAGGTTATTAGAAACCATTTCCCTTTAATATCACCTTTATATTACATGTAGGGCATCATATTGGTTCTTTTGACATGTATATAGTCACAATTCCAAATTGAATTCAATACGGTCAAGGGGAATCATAGAATATTTTCTTAAAGCTGGAGCACTGTGTGCTACCAGGTGTGAGCTCCTGTTTTTGTCGCTGTTCTAGAGAACGAGAAGACGTTGTTGTTGGGTTCAGGAGCCCCAAAAGAGACTAAAGAATGACCTGTGTCCTCTGCAGTGCCAACAGCAATAGCAGGACATGCTGCTCTAGATCCAGCATCACTGGCTCAAATGCAAACAGAGGCCAAACAGGTACTGGGTGGGCAGTTGTGGGGTGGGGTGGGGGGGCTTTGGCAAGTAGAAGATATTAGGAATGCCGCCCTATTCCGAGGACATAGCCACCCATCTCTAGCTGATTGATTATTTCTCTTAACAGTAATAATTTATTTTGGTGAAGACGTTGATGTGCCCCCAGAATACAGCTTCAAGGAAGGTCTTGGGGGTAGAATTCTATGGTCAGCTTTTGGCTGTCAGACCCAGAAGGGACTGTCTCAGTTGCATATGGTCATCCTGCACCCGTCCCCAAGTATAATCTCATACCAGCCAGCACAAATCAAATGCCTGTTTGAGGCAGAGCATAAGTATGGAACTGCCTTGAGCAGCTGTAGCTCTAGAGCTCCTGCCCCAGGGTCATGGTGCTTGCCTCTCGCCGACTACCTTGCCTCGGTTTCTCCCTTTCATTAGCATCAATCCTGAGGGCACTTCCTAATCAACATTGTGCCCACTAAACCTCCCAGAGAACCAAACGTGCGACACGCAGGGTAGTATCTCATGATAATTCTAAAGAGAAATTGGCAATGTGCATCCTCATGTGACCTCTCCTGATTTTCAACTGTCTACAGCTAATTTAAATCTTCCTCCCATCAATACATCTGTAAGGCTACATGTAGATCTCAGTTACGGAGAACACAGTTCAAAATTTGGCCAAGAGAGTTGTCCCAAAACAAGAATGAATAAAATCCGTTTCACTGTTGAATGGGTCCCAGCTTAGACAGCAAATGAATTTCCTGATGACCCTTCTCTTAGACCATCCTTTGGCCATTTCTGCTTGAGAGGACAGACTTCCCGAGGCAGCAGATTTCTGCCAGGCTAAATTACGTAAGGTTTGTTGAATCCAAGAATAAGGCACCGATTGTCACAGGCACCTAGAGCATACTCGTTCGTGCAGTGTGGTTAGCAATCTGGTGAAGTTAGGTAGAACAGGAAAGGCCATTTCAGTGTCAGGAGTGACAGCCAATCAAAGTCTAGCACAATGAGTCACCACTTTCTCAACAAAAAGAAAAAAAAACAAAAACAAAAACAAAAACCCACGTATTTATTTTCTCAGTTTATTCATGTCCTTGGCCTCTTCTCATATCTGTTCAGTCAACTGTCGGTGACAAATTCTCCTCTTTGACATTTTAGATGAAAGGTCGAATGGTCTAAGTGTCCAGGAAATGTAATAAAAAAATGATTATATAGCAAACCTCAGAATAGATATTGATAAACACAAAATGAAAAGATCAAGGAAAACACATTCCTGTAAAATAAATATTACAGACATTTTCATAAAACTGTACACAAATAAAAACAAGTTACTTGGTAATTAGTCAATTAATCAGTCAATTAACACAGTAAAAAAACATTCTACTAATGAACTCTTAAAATCAGAGAACAAGTAAAACTGCACTGACAGAAAATAATGGTGTTAAGAGTGTTCCATATCACAATGTATGCTACGCAGCCCATGTAGAAATCAAAGCCAAATCTATAACATTAGGGCCACTTATTTATTTTTATTAAAAATAAAAATAATTTATTTATTTAATTTATTTATTTTATTTTATTTATTTTATAATAAATTCTATTTATTTTTTAATAAAAATAAATGAAAGATCTAAAATAAAGAAGAAGAATAATGATAAGGCACTCCATTAAAAAAACATGTAATTTGTAAGCACAAGAGTTTCTTCTTTGAATAAATAAAAATAAAACTATTCATATAATACTGTGAACAGGAGCTGCATATTGTCTATGTGTGTATTTGTACGTATATGTTAAAGGACGTGACATGTGACCTATCATACGTGCTAATTACACTATCAGAAGCAGGAGGCCCTGATAAAGATTTCTGAAGAATGGGATGTGAGAGTAAGCCTGGTCCAGAATTATGAGAAACAGGATGTCGGCGTCAGCTCAATGTAACTACCTAAAGAAAATTAATCCTATTTTACTAAAAGTAGGATTGTGGGTGACAACTGTAGCTTTCATATAAATAGTGTTTAAAAAATCCCCTATAGTTTTGTTGCTTCCTGCTGGCTACCTGCATCAATTCAGGGTAGTTTTTATAAATTAGCTAAATTCTATATTCGCTAATGATATAATACGGTATATATGTTTTGGACCATCTTAACTGCGTAAACCTGTTGGCTCAGTATCTTTTTTATGAATTGTCCTTTTGAGATTTTGCATCAGGTTAGTCATTCTTTCTACTTTTATTGTCAATTTTAGTAATGTATCCAAATAATATTATCCATTTCAAAACAATTTAATTGGTGGATTATACATATCTGCTACAATTTCAATAATAATAATAATACCAGTGATGTTTATTCTCCTCTCTCTCTCTCTCTCTCTCTCTCTCTCTCTCTCTCTCACTTTCATTGGAGAAAAAAGGAATCAAGACTGAAAGGAAATATGCCAATTTATAAACATAGAGTTAGCCACTTTGCAAATTACTTGCTACCTAGGTCAGTTAATAAGAACCCAGTAGATATTTGCTGTTACTAGGAAGAGAATTAACATGATTTCTATCAACATATCAAAGAAGAAAAGCCATATTATTATCTTTATAGATGTTGAAATATGGGTTTTATAACAATTGACATTTGGTCCCAACGAAGATATTTAATAGTTAATGTGACCTGAGTGAGCACCAAATGTCTGCCCAACACCATGCAGTTTCAAATGTATTGTTTCATTCAATTCTTAAAATGGCTCTGGTTGGTGCTAAAGCACTCTTTTCAGACAAGAAGACTAAGGCCTAAAGAGGTAAATCCACTTGTTTGCAGTCGTGCAAGAAGTAATCTATTGGACTGAGGAACAATGGGATAAGTAGAAACAGAACAGGAGACGCAGATTGCTACTTTTGTACTTTTTCATATGCTTTTCCAATTATTGGGTACTTTATTATTTTTTTTATATATATGATAGTCACAGAGAGAGAGAGAGAGAGGCAGAGACACAGGCAGAGGGAGAAGCAGGCTCCATGCACCGGGAGCCCGACGTGGGACTTGATCCCGGGTCTCCAGGATCGCGCCCTGGGCCAAAGGCAGGCACCAAACGGCTGCGCCACCCAGGGATCCCCTATTGGGTACTTTAAATCTAATTTATGAATTGCCTATACACACACACACACACACACACATATATACACACACACACACATGCACATGCACACACACCCGTAGGCACATATGTACACATATGTATGCTTATATAGAGTAGGGTCTGCATTACTGATATAAAAATCATATAAAACCATAAAAATATTATATGATCTAATATAAATTAAATGAATATATGAATTATGATACTATATGTAAAGAGAATCATTTTCAAAAGAAAATTGCTCAAATGTAGAGGCTTATGATGCATTAGAAAAAATATATAGTATTATCTCATTTAATATTATTTTCATAAAATTACATAACCAAACCATGTAGTGATAATCACATTCATTAGGTCATAAGTATTTGTGTAGCTTATTTTATCCTACATTTTATTGTATTTCATAGTTGTCTGCCAAAAGAATGCCGTTAACTCAATAAAAGTATTTAAGTAAAAATACGTATATAAATCATAATATTTATTTATGTTTCCTTTAACATGTTCGTATTGCAAACATATACTGGTTTACAAACTGCATTTACAGTTCAGGGTTCATTGGAATCATAGCTTACATCATGAGATCTGGTTATCTTGCAGCATTCAAAGATAATTACTGGGTGTCACTGGAAGCCTTGCATCCTTTCCGATACCTGCCGGGAATTTTAGAGTGCCCTTATCACAACTGGTTATTCCTGAGGCGGATTTGTGACTTCTCCTACCCTCTAGGAACTTTTCACGTCCTCCTTCTTATAGTTATTTCCTTATTTGCAACTTTTATGTGAAAGAAAAATAGACCTTTTAGCCCCCCAACCCCCCAAGGTATCACTGACAAGCAATACTGAACACTGTACTTCGTCACAGCCCAGCATATGGTACAAAATTAAATTTAGACGTATTTGGACCTTCTGTTCCTTAAAAGTAAAGGGACTATCTTTTCTCTTCCATCAGGGGACTTGAGGTTGTCCTCCCTGCTAGTGTGGCTCCCGCCTCCCGTTCTATGGAGGAGCTCCCTCTACTTTCTCCAGACTCCTTCTTTCTCTTCTAGTTTGCATATACCTGACCTCTGAACTCTTACTCATTTTCCCCTCAGACAAGTTTATTCTTTGATTTATTTGAGTGCTACCCTAAGAACAATCTTTTCAGTTAAAGTGACTCCCAAAGTGTTCTGTTAACCAGTCATCCTCCCTCCCTTGAGGCCACCTCTTAGGTTTTTTTCTTCCCACAACATTTACATTAAAGCAGCCTAATAAATAAATAGCTATTTCTAGCAATCATCATCTGGTCTCACAACATTTCTATTATGTGGTCATTTCAAGGACTACAGATTTAAGATGATCTGCTTATCTTTCCCTCAGGTCTCTCACACCCACCCCTAAGGCCGGCCTGCTCCCACCAGCCCCTGGCCGACATGGTCTCTAATCACATTTCAGTTCACACAGATATTAAATGAGAGAGGTGGACTATAAGGTTTCTGAAGATATTTTCCATTTAAATAACCAGAGGTGTGCTTTCGCATATATCTAGTAAGCAAGGGAAAAAGAAATATAATTGACCTAACTACTACATTTATTTCATTTGCTAATAAAGCTTTCTTTATGATTTGAAATATGAATTCTCAAGCCCATTAAAATGCAGTGCTAATTATATTTTCAGAAGTATCCATTTATTTCCTTCCTGGATTTCAATAAAAACAAGCTTTTAATTTTCAGTGCCATCTTTATAAGACGCTTTTATTTGTAGAAGTAACAGTACTTCAAGAATAATATT